AATTCGTAAACTCCATTTAACTTGTGCCAAAAAATCTCCGTATTCCTTTTGTGCAAAAATTACTGCTTGACATTTATGCCTAGTTTCAACTAAAGAGGCATTCACTGTCACTGTAAACAGTGAATGCCTTTACGCTTAAATTACGTGAGGTAATTATTGTAAATTCATCGACAAACGATAAATTAATGTATAAAAGTATTTCACTCGTCTTTGATAATTTAAGGGGTGTTTTTACTGTCGCATCTCCAACATTATTTAAATACGCAAAATGACTACTATAAAAACATACCTTTAGAACATAAGAGTTATAAACAAGCTTGAATTGCTGAAATATTTACTGGCTTAATGTATGACGACTTTGTACGGATTAGACTTGAGCAATAAAAAGAGCGGGAATACACTGACCCCTCGTTAGACACGGCAGATCTCGCTCGCTTGGACGATTCTCGACCAAATGATCAAACGGTTGATTTGCTATACTCTTGAACAACCAATATGATCTTTCGTTGACTAAAACTAGAATTTTCTATGTATCTCGTATTATCACCATCCATTTTCCTATTAGTCCATGTCTTTACTTTTCTATCTATAGCTCGTTTCATCATTGTTCTCCTTCTGTTTCATTTTCTCGTTTCTCACTTAGCTATTGCTTAGACCTTATGTATTGAATAATTCGTTGATTGAATTTGTTGAGCATTTTTAATCACAAGGCCCGTGTCAGTCACAGGTCTGCTGGAAGAGATTTCTCAAGGAATAAGCAGGGCCTGTGTACAAATCTTTTCATATAATTACATTTTTTTACATACGAGTACTGTGCATATAAATTATTAAATAAATAAAATCTGTATAATATTTATTAGTACCTAAGCTCTTGCCATTATGATTCGGAGTCGCCATTAATGCCCGGTTCCTATATTCAACGAACGGCCGTTAGTTACATAGCTTCGTAAATTTCATAACGACTTGTAGATAAAAGTCGTGTACGCCCGGTTCCTTTATTAACAAAACGAGGCGTTTTCCTCACGAGCCGTTGCATTACCTACGGAAAGAGAGTTACTAGCGTTCCTTTAACCTATGTAACTAACGGCCGTTCGCTGAATATAGGAACAGGGCATTAGTGACTGCCGCACGTCATCTTAGACGCGCTTCTAAAAGAACGACATTAGATGATTCCGTGACGCAGTTGCCAAGGTATTGGCTTTGGCGTCGGGGGTTGTGAGTTCGATCCCCACACGGGACAACTATTTGTGTGACCCACAGATAGTTGTTTCACATCTGGGTGTTTGTCTGCGTGTAATTTATGTTTGTAAAACCTCCTCACAACACAGGATAATGTTATCCTAAAGTAAGGGCAATGTTTTCTTAAAAAATAAAATAAATAAATAAACGACAAACAACTTCTACGATGTGCAGCACAACGGTGTTATTAATTAACTAACCGTCTCTACTAAGCCGGAGTCATTGTTCTGACTATTGGAAACTGTTTCCATTAATTACCTAGACACATTCAGACGCGGATAATGAGCTATTGGCATGACTTTAATTAAACTGACAAATGCTGAGGAACTAAAACGAAATACATTTAAATGTAACGAAACAAAGGGCGGTGATGATTCATCCTTTAAATTATTAACGCCTTTTTGAGTAATTAAAGTCAAAGTGAGTAATTAAAGTAGATTGATGCGTAAGGTGTTCGTACGATGGCAGAACCATGTTCAATCGGTTATATTCAGTAAAAGTTTTCATTTTCAGTCAAGACCCGCACATGTGTACCTCTTCCTTCATATGTATTGCATAACACCATCTCGGAATTCGTAGGACATTTGTATTGATATTAAATTATTATTCAGTCAATTTAAAATTAAATTGGATTATTTTAAATAAAACAAAATATCCTGTGAAAGTTTTTTTAGTATATTTATATTTTTTATATGTACCTCCTTGCTACTTCATTTCAAACTTGTTAATAGTTCTTTCCTTTCTACCAGCTTCAATATAATCTATTTTCTATTAAAAATGTTCGCCAAGCTAGAGTCGCGAAAATCTGTAATTATTTAAATTTTATATACAACTGTCTCGGTAAATGTTACATTATTTACACTGTATAAATCTTTTGAGCAGCTTATCTGAAACAATACTATGTCTACTCAAAAAAAAGTGATTTCGCATGAAGACGTATTCAACAAAAGTAACAGTTATTCGACCCGCGATAACCGCAAACGGAATTCCCAACGGTACCGCATTTTTTATCTTATTGACAAAGCGATAAGTTCGCTAATCGTTTAGCAATCGGCCATACCGTCTGACAAACAACTTCCTTGAACCTGAAAAATCGCCTCGAAGACTGTGGACGGTCATTCGCCGTTACACAGCGATACATTATGGTATTGCGGTCGGTGTGACGTATGATATTTAGGCTCGCGTCGATAACTGTACTGTACATAATCACAGCCAGCTAAACCGAGCAATCTTTTGTTCCGAATGGCAATAACTGTTTCTATATTGTTCAATTTCTACAGAAGTGTGGGAAATTAATTTGTACGCTTATGGTAGGCGGCGATTTTTAAACAACAATTCTGCATTGTTATAAACCTACTCTTGAACAAATATTTTAACGTCATCCGAAATTAGGAAAGAATGTATACCATTGACCGTTAATTACGTGGTTAGCAGCAAGACTAAATACAATTGCTATTGACACCGGGCTTAAAATCACGTATGTATTTAACACTCTTAACAATACTATACTATAATACATCAAGTATTTAACCATCTGAATTAACTTAACAGGGTAAACAAACACAGTTGAGAACATTTCACCGAGTTCGTAAGCGACCTAAAATTGGGCATGAACTGAACACCTGTTAGAGATCCCGAATATGTAATTTAGTCATCACTAGCTTTTCGCCCGCAGCTTCGCTCGCGTTGAAGCCCTTAAATAAATATCTTTCCACCCTTTACACCAATTAAAAATAGCCTATGTCCTTTCTCAGGCTCTAGACTATCTGTGTACCAAATTTCATTTTTTGAAGTGAAAGCGAGACAGACAGACATAGTTACTTTCGCATTTATAATATTAGTATGGATTTCAGCATGTTTGAGTCCACTGCTAAAAATATACCTCCCCATAGACTACCAAGAAGTACGATCTACGTGTCGTGCCGGCGTAAGAATAAGCCGCCCCATCTCATCCCGTGGGTGTCGTTAGAGGCGACTAAAGGATAAGCCACAAAGATCCGGTGGCCTCCGATTAGATAGATTTTTTTTTAATGTGAAAATTTGCCAAACGAGCAGACGGTTCACCTGATGGTAAGTGAATACCGCCGCCCATGGAGATCCGCTACACCCGAGGGTTACAGATGCGATGACAACCTTTTGAAAATTGGGCTCCGGCTACCTCACTCACCAGACGAAACGCGAAAGTATTTGTCATACTTCCACTTTACGCTAGTCTTCTATGAGGTCGTCGTACTTACCCGGACGGGCCTGCCCATTCATGCAACAGCCGAGGCCTCTGCATGGCCCTGCCACCGTTAAATAGATGGCGAGATAGCCATCTTAATTCTCCAGATCCAAATATCCAGGCCAATAACGAGCAGCGGCGTTAAAGGAGCGGTGTTTGAAAGTAGTGCGGTTGCCAACCCGCTAGCCAGACCCCTCATGTATGGAAGTCCAAGGTGTAACATATCCAAATTTTGTCAAATAAAAGTCAGAACCCACGGTAGCTGCTGTTATTATGTCCGAATCATCGTACAATTCATTCCAAGAATGATGCATTACCATTTCATGAAGCATGTTCATCATTCATTGAAGCATGTTCAAGGGCATATTTTAGGTCCCATCTAATAATCGGTCGAAAAGATGAAATTTTAACTCTAAAAATGTGGTACGAATTGATAATTGTCAATTAAGACGTAAATAACATTGACCAATCACCAAATCAATTGACCTATTGTGACCTATTTGTGACTAATTGAAATAATTTTAGATCCAAACACTAGGATTAATTTGAACCGCCAAAATGTTTCCAATGACCTTGGAATTTTCAACTATGTAGTGTCAAAGTATTGAACAATTGGTAAAAGTCACTATTACCATTTCCTGACCAATTCGGGCCACTTTGTTAGAGTTAAAACTTCGTCGTTTGGTAATTAGATGGTAATTTCAGTATACGAAAACTATAAAATAAGAAAACAAAACCTATAAAACTGACAAACAGAATCTCCGACCTTTAATAATTACTTGGTCTATAAAAGAATATCAATGAGGAATACGTCGAAATAATAGGGAAAACTTCCTTTACCAAATACCCCATCGTTTGCATTCATTAGAATAATTAAAAAACCTTTTAAGCGGAATTAATCGATGAAAAGAAAGGCTAAGGGTATTATTCCATCACCATTAATAAATTATGTGAAAATTTTATAAAACGTAAGAATATACAAAGCAAGATAAGACAAAACAAAGCTACAGCCAGATTGATATTTTGCTGTAGGTTTGTCTTAAAGTAATGAATCTTTTCTAACAAATTTAAACCGACCAAAAACTAATTAATTATGACTCGGAAATTGGTAAAATAATTCCGATGATATCGATCACTTATTTTTTTTTATGTGAGCAGTTGGCATACTATCTGGTGGTTCACCTGATGTTAGGTGATGACCGCTGCCCATGGACATAAGCAACACCCTTAGGGTTTTGCTTATGTCCATGGGCAATCCCTTTTTAATGACTTAAAAATGACCATGCAAAAAAAGTATTCAAAACCCTTATCGATTTCGATCCAGCTGAGGTTTGAACCTACATCTGAGACCTTTGGATCGCGTCATGCGAGAGGGGGGGGGGGGGGGGGGCTGTTAGTCAATTGTCCATCTTGTTCGTTGTTCTCCCGATTCCGTGGGTGCTCTGCCCGCGGACCTCCTCCACCTAAGCTGTCAAAGCCGCCGGGCTAACAGCAAACTGCACGTCACAAAGAACAGCGTTTCAAAACCCCAGCTTACCCCAAGAGCTGTCCGTTGTTGAGCTGCTCCGGCGACTTGGCCTGCGAGAAGGTCACCTTGTCGCTGAGCTCGCCGCGGCTCCCGCGGCCGATCAGCGGCAGGTGGATCTGGGTGCTCTTCGACTCCATCTTCAGGCCCGGCGTCATCGCGCGCTGAACATCATGCGGTAATATGCCCTGGAATGAGACACCTGTATTAAGTGGTGGCCCAGTGGTTTGTCCAACGATTTATTTTTCTATAAGAGATGGAAACGAGCACATCAACCGAGGCCCAATGATCACCACAGCCCATGGATAATTAATGGCAAACTTGTCAAGTGAGTAAGTGGTTCACCTGAAGCGATAACCACTTTCGATGAACATTTGCAACATTGCACATTGCAACTGGATCCCGGTGACCTTGACTTTGCCCAAATTGTCCATCCGTGCAACATAAAGAATACTGCGTGGCTATTACAGAGAGCTCATGGATATTGACAACATCAGAGGCGTTATTAAAGTATTTTGGATTCACGCAGGTGATATTTCTATTTACTTTTCGCAACGGGTTTAACGAAAACTTCTATCTAGTAGCTGCCGAATATTGATGGTGTTTTAAATATTACGTCGCTATCAAAACCTTCAAAACATATCTGTCAAATGTTCTTTGACTGAAAATTTACAGTATTGTGTAACTAATAATTTCTTGTATTTACGCGATTACACATTATAAATGAAACTAATTTTACGGATTTATCGCGTTTATTTTTAATTTTAGTTCCCGACGTTTCGAACCACGATTCGATAGATCGAACACAAAATCAATAATACAAAAACTGACGGTAGCCCGGGTTAACTTTGACAATCAGACGTCTAACACCTCAGTCTGTCCCGTGACCATGAACGCTGTAAAGGGTTCGAAACGTCGGGAACTAAAATTAAAAATAAACGCGATAAATCCGTAAAATTAGTTTCATTTATAGTATTGTTTAATTTATTTAAACGATCTATCACTTTACAAGAATAAATTACCAACCAATCTTGTGAAACGGTATAAACAAAACAATAACCTCTATCGAATTAATCCTTATCATACTAAATTGTTTAATTTCACGGCCATTCATATAGCCCTTCAATGGGAAATAAAATTTAATGTACGAAATATTCTATTCAAATACTCGTTGGGAAACTGCGTTAACTTGCCTGATGATTGGGTACCTAGATGGTTCCGCCGAAGTCTGCAAGAATGAATATGGACGTGTAGGTTACGAAAAAAAAGATATTAAATATTACTCATCTAAAACCTCACTAAACGAAACTAATGGAACGGATTTATTACGATTATTCTTTTCTAGGTTTAATTATGATCGGAATTTCGAACACTTTACGTTAATAGTCACGGACCAAGCTGAGGAGTTGGACGTCTGAATGTCTGAATGCCATTAACCCTGGCTAACCGCCAGTTTTTGAATAATTAATTACTTAGGCCCGTAGATTTTTTTCTTTTAACAAACACTTGGTGAATTAGCACTTAATGTTAAATTGCATTTATCTGTAAATTGGTGCTAGAACCGATATCTAAACACGGGGCTCCCCAGTAGAATCATTTTGATTACATAACGTAGAAAGGCCGAAACTTTCGTAGTAAAGGCCTAAAAATAATCCAGCCCTCCCATTTTTAAACGAAAACCTTTTGGGTTTTGTTGAAGAAGACCCACGAATGTAGACTCTTCAGTAGCAGCTCTTGCATCTATCGAGTTTATTTATGGAGTTTTAACGAGAAATAGTGTATGCCTTTCAATTCAGTTTAGCGCAAATTATAATTTTAAAGGAAGGTGATAAGTATTCGATAAAATAAGCTAGTTAATACTGCTAATAAATAAGTGGTCCTGTATTCAAAGGTTAGCGGGCTCGAAAGGTAGCAGAAACTTTAGCGGGTTCCGCCAAGTGTAACGCATTAGTGGAAAATTTTAAATTATTCAATAGACATTTAAAAATTTGTCAATAAAGTTTTGTTTATGTATATTAAGGTCAGTGCGTATTAAGGAGTATATATTAAGGTCGTATCAAGGTTTATAATGGTTATGAAATGTTACTTGAGTGAACTTAATGAAACGTTAAGAAATGAACATAATTAACATAATCGTTAAATACATTCGAAACGTTCTTATACTATGGCAAGGTTTCCTAAGAATTTAAAAATTCATAAACACTTCCGAAACTAAATAGCAACTTTTAATATTTTAAAATTTTTCTTCAGTTTTTTTACTTAAATGTAGGTAAGTTTTTATAAAGATTTATGATTAACGGTTAAATAAATAAGTTGGGTAAAAAAACTTATACACTCGTCAAAAAGTGTTATTAATGCATTCGGGTTACAAAGTAGAGCAATTTAATATTATTAAATTTAAATAAATTTAAATAATCCAAAGAAATGGGTCGCTCTTACAGATAAAATCCATGATGTGCAAACCAGCAATGTACGAAACGAAATGATTTTTCGTAGAAAATAATTTCTGTCTTTGTCCATCTATTAGACTAAGGTTGACTATTAACAGAGAAGCAAATGATAATATTTTTGATTTTATAAAAACATAATAAAATAAAAAATATTGAAAGGGGCTCCCATGCTACAAAAGCGAGGCGGTTGCTAGGCAACCTATGGTACTTACCAATTAGTTTAATAAATTATATTGTTAAATTATAATTATATCATAATTGGTACGGAAAGCTTCGTGCGCGAGGCCGATTCACGCTTGGCCTGTTTTTTTTTAAAGTCTTGTGCTTTCTGTGCGTGATATTCATGTTTTAGAAGAGCCGCGATACAGCAATCATTTCCCTGGACGGATTTTCTTTTTAGAAAACCTGGTGTAATACAAATGTACAAAGTTCTTGCTCAGTAAATGAAATGAATATTTAAAAGATCAATCGTGTTTTTATATCATCTTGTGGTCGCTTATATTCCTGTCTCTCTTAGGCACTGTATTTGTCTACTTTTAGTAGTTAGAGCTCATAAATACTACACAGTATATTTCAATTGTAAACTGTTTCTAATTTAGATTTAACGCACAGTAATATTAATGGGCTCTAACTGCTAAAATATTAGGATGGTCGGCGACCATTCCATGCATATGACCACAGAGTCAGTCACCTATTGCAACGGGGCGTGAAATGGTACACAGACTATCGCAATGCCACCGAGCTGTAGCAACAACATTCTATTCGCACGAGAAAAGGATTTCTTAATTCCAACAAACGGGACAATCAAGAGATACAAACACAGATATGGTAGTGATGCTAACGCACGGATACAAATATCAATAGACAAATTCCAAATTCAGAATAATTATCAGCGCACGTCGCCCAGTTCCGATTCGCAAACTCAGTCTCAAGTTCGACGTCACCGCCTAATAAAGCTCTTATCCACAACTCCATTAGTGTTACATCGTGGACAAGCGAAATCGATAGAAAGAAACATTCGTTCAGTGACATAACGCGGGGCTTAGGATTGAAATGTTATCATTTTTGAGCAGCTTATGGCGAAAGTCAGATATGTTCTACATATAATAGGAGCGGCTTGTTTTTTTGCCGTTTTTGTAGTTGGTACGGAAACCTTCATGCGTGAGCCGATTCGCACTTGGCTGTTTTTTTGTGAATAGTACGATAGTAGTAATCAATATAATTTAAACTATTAAGCAAAACAATTATTAAAATAAAACTTGTTAACCGACTTCAAAAAAGAAGGAGGAACAATTATTTTTATTTAGGATGACAAAAATGTTAATGAAGTCGCTTTCAGACACCCGATATAGAGCGACAGGTATATATATATATATATATATATATATATATATATATATATATATATATATATATATATTTATATTTGCACGCCTCGTTCATGGCCTTTGACTTGGTACTTGGTTGTGATGAAATAATTCTGACCTCGCTGTAGCCAGAACAGTTACATTGACTTATAAGGGTAGTGGACATCTATTTTAAACTAAGGTATCGAAACAGTTAAACCCTTAAAAGTGTATTTGTGCGATTTGGCGGACTTCATATATCTTCGAAATATTTTTTTCTGTTCTTATTTCGAAAATACGAAGAAACCGTAGCGATGATTTCATAGCCGTTAAGGCTTGTGGTTAAAGCGTTTGATCGCGATTCCTTAAGACGCGGCTTCGATTCCCGCGGCGCCGAAGAACTTTTCGTCCAATTGTTTACAAATTTTATTGTTGTCTGTTGTAGGTTCCTGCTTTATGATATTTATATCTGTTCTGCTAGATATAACCTCTACGCAAGATGGTGAGGATGATGAAACGATAGCAGCAGATAAACATTTTTGTCACAAGTTTTCGAAGTAAATTGTCCCATCAACGGAGAATGCATCATTACATCATCATCGTTCATAAGAGCTCGACGCATAATTATAAACGTCAAAGCGATTGCGTAGAGTTAAGGTTGTGGCTGTTAAACTCAGTTACGTATTCATAAAAGTATAATCAGCTTATTATAATAAGTTATAAACACATCTATGCTGTTTAGTTAATTACGAAAGCAGTCACTCAAATAGCTTGTGGAATTTTTATAAGGAATGCCGATAGACCAATCGATGTATAAGATACGTACAAAGAATTATTATTGCCTGTTGCAAAAGTAAATAGTAATTAAACAGCAGTCATAAGTAAGCGTAACTCATTACCGTGTGACGTTACAATGCCATATATTACATTGCGAAAGACTAATCACGGTTGTAATGTCAGAAATAACTTTGTGTACTTACTTCTCACTGTGGTAGATTCTACAGTTGTAAATATTTACGTAGTTAATTCCAGATTCTATTCGCGATTTCGTATTTTATGATGCAACATTGGTATTTAGTTATTATATGGAATAAAAACTGCCAGGGCTTGCTATTTCATCTAAAGCAATAACTTGTTTTATATTTAGTTTGATTCTAGTATTAACGTTTAAACTTATTTAGAAACTAACAGTGAACAATTTTGTGGAGTTATCATTTGTCTATTTAATTTTTCTGTCAATGTTTACAATCCAATTTGACCATAGATTAATCTAGCGCTTAAACTACTGAATCAATATCAAAAATTGAGTCAGTAGTTTAAGCGCGAAGTAGAATTGGTTACTCACCAGAGAAAATGAAAAAGTTCTCTCTGGTTATTTAGGTCAGTTTAAAA